TATATATATATATATAATTAATTAATTTGATAATTATTATGATTTTAATAATTTATTTAATAAATATCAATACGAATGTATTTAATTTAGATATTTTAAATAATTTTACTAGTTGCATAACTTGATAAATAAAATATGGGGAAAAATATGACAAATAAAAAATGTCGGCATGCTTAAATAAGTTAAAATAGACTGAAATAGCTTAGAGATCTTTTCAAATTGTCCCTAAAAAATGGAAATTAACATAAATAATTACTATGAAAGTGTATTTTCGTGTTATATATATATATATATATAAGAGAAAGATAGAAATACTGTATGCAAGTATAAAAAAAAAATTGACAGAGTATACAAATATTATTGATGCATGAATAATGGACAATGTATATTCCATTTGCACGAACGATGTATATCAATTATTTGGTGATTATCTCTTTATTTTCCATCCAAAAGAAGTTGGATGTTAATTTATTCTTAATATTTACACATAAAATACATTACCCTAAATTATTTATATGTACATTAATTCTCAGCAAAAACAAATTACACTCACATTAATTTTGAAGAGAAAAAAACAAGAATATCTGCACTGCAAAAACTAAAATTATAGGAGAGAAGAGGTATGGAATGCAATCAATACCTTTGGGATTTTAGCAGCGGTTGTGGCAAATTTGCCCTTTCAAAAGCTAAGCCTCCATGCAGATCGACAATCCCTGGCTTTTGGCTCAACCCTATATCTGTCTGCCCATAACCTGCAATTTCACCACCCATATATAGAGCCATTGCTCTTTCTTTATCACACACCAGCTTAATAATTCACTTGCGTCCCAACCAGTTTTTTATATATATATATTATTCTTACAGGACACACTTGCTTATAATTTTTCTTTCCTTTTTGTTAAACACTATCATTTCTCTCATTTTTCTCTTAATCATAAAAATAGTCAGAAATTTTTTTTAAAAATATAATTTCTCTTATTTTTAATGCAAGACGATACAAGAATCTAGAGCAAATTATAGAACTTCTGCCACACTCGAATCACCGAGGATTTCAAACAAAAAGAATAACAATAATAGAAGAAACGAAAATGGGGTCCTTGAGAGGGAACATCCAACTACCTGCGCTGCCTTTGTCGGAGCCCTTCACTGTTCTATACATCTGCATGAACACCCGGCATGAAATAAAATGAGAAGAAAAGTCCAATACGCTAAGATTACCATCTAGATACCCATTTGTCCTTAGTCCTTGTTCTATCTTCCCCACTACCGGAGACAACAATGATTAAGAAACTTTATTTGTTTTTTTTATTAAAGAAACTTTATTTGTTTATTTTGTCAAGTTTTAAAATATATATATATATATATATATATATATATATATATATATTTTTGGACACCCTAATAGCTAATGCTATCCAACACCTTGACAAAGAAAGATATAAAAGAGAGAAAAAAATTATAATTTTGATGATATGATATATGGATGATAGACAGATCTGCAAGAGACCTACCTAGAGAAAAAATTACACTTGACCAGGTGTTTAAAATATAAAAGATGCCTACACATTTTCTTTTAACATCTATCTATTAATACTCTTATTAAATCTATTTACGAGTTATGATAATAATTTTTATAATAATTTTGTCCCGATTGAAAATCATAAATTTTACGGGAGACATATCACTGATATGAAGAGATATTCATTTAATAAGATACGAAATTTATAAAATTTGAAATTTTTAGCAAATTTCAGTCATTAAGAAAGTATTAAGAAGATATATCATTCTTCTTAAAATATTAGAAATATTATAGCGTCAAAAAAAATCATTCCTCAAAAATATAAAAATTAAATAACTCGAAAAGACTGTGGAGAATGTAGAAATAGGTAAAGTAACCCCACCTGCAAGTGACTCTTGACGTGAGCTAGAGTTAGATCCTTAACATTCATTAACTCTAACACAGACTTTGGAGTTGCTCCTGCGACCAAGAAAACAACCCACAATTAGGTAAAGCATCCTAAGAAAATTAACAATATCAAACTTTCATAATGGAATTAATAATGAAGAAACTAATAATCATGAGGGTTTTAAGAAATGGTCTGCAATCACAATTGTCTCTACGACTGCATCCACAACCACTGAGACTGAGACTGCAATATGGAGATTTACAGAGAAATCCCGACCACAATTTAAAACCTTGCCAATAACGGCATGTAATCTACGTTTTGAATCTTGAATTGATCGATTTACTTTCATGACCACCAAGACTCTGAACCGCATGAACAAAATGAGCATGGAGGGTTGTAGTCCATCGCATTCTGGGAGCTCTGATGCTTCTCTTCGCACCGTGAACGACTCTAGAATTTCGTTGGACATGATTAGGATTCAAATTTGCCGTTTCGAAGCCTAAGCTCAAAGTGGGTACACGATGACCGAGGTCGTAGACAGTGTCCTTGTCCCTGTGGGGAACACCATTTTCATGGCTTAAATCGCTTCCTGCAGTGCTACCAGAATCGGAGGTTGAGCTTGAGCTTATATCGTTGTAAAGCGTTTTGGTGGTTAAGGTTAATCCGTTGCAGCTTTGTTTGGCGTCAGAATCTGAGCTGAAGGGTGGGCTGATGTTTAAGGAGAGGTCTGGCTCTGGCATTACTTTGTGCCAACTAGTGTACATGGGGATCGTAGAGATCTGGATCAGTTACAGAAGTGGCCAGTGAGGTGGTACAATATACATACCAAGTTAAGGAAAAGAATGAGAGTTTAAGGATGTGGAAATGATCGATATAGTGAAGCAAATATAGTCAGACATATAAAAGTTGCTAGGAGAAGCTCAGCTATGAAGAACAGAATTTATGGAATGAATAATTGAAACAACTGACAAAAAGGAAAGTATATATCATATATCTTCAACTAGCAATGAATACATTCACTAACGAGTTATTAATTATTTTTCATAAATTAATTTCTTGTAATATACCACATTAAGATTAACTGAGACTGTAAAAATATGTGATAATTACTAATTAATTCACCATGTGTACGGAAAATATTTTAACTTGTTAAAAGAGAAGAAAGAAAAATCTACTCGGACTATATGTATATATATTTTGTAAATAATTAGTATTTGATTATCAATTCGAAGATATTTTTGTGGATACAAAATAAATAAACGAATATTTGATAGTTATGAATTATATAATAACTTGTTTTTATTATATTTTTAATATATTATTTTTATTAATTAAAATCATTAAAAATGTAAAACTATTAATAGAATTTTTTAAACAAATTCAATTAAGAGAATGCGTACTTTTAACGTGTTACTGAAATCTTGCTTTTTACTATCTTTTATAGTATATGGATGTGTTTATGTAGTCATGACTGGCTTATGATTTGCTATGCTTTCTGGAGGAGGTGACAGCCTTTTTAGTAGCATCACACTAGCTAGTTACTAGGGATTAAGGAAGACACGGAAAGTTTTAATTAAAGCAGTGACGAAACAATATCAGTTATTTAATATTGCATAGACAACATGTCACTAGGGAAACAGAATGGTTCTTCTAGGACGGTGGTTTGAACGAAAAGGTAGCAAAAAGGTCGTAGGGAGTAGTTATTCACTTATTTTGAGTGGACAAAGAAGCTCTTTGAACAAAATGGGATTTTTTTTTTCCTTAGAAACTATTTTATCACGAGACTATTTTGAAACTTATTCTCACTTTTGAGAAAATGCAGATCAATACTAACCTATATTTGGCATGTATTTTATGTGAAAGATGCAATAAGTTGTAACGAGCATCAGGCTAAGGAGGGGAACCATCCCTCAAAAGCCGGTCCAAGAGGTTGGAGAACCTCATGCCTAATAAGGTCTCCTTGGTAAGGAGACCTCCTCGATGTGAGACTTGTTACATTACCACCCCCTTCGAAAGTCAGTGTCTTCAATGGAGGCACTCCATGGTACTTCACTCACCGGTACTTTACTCAGCCTTTGCCGGTCAGAACCCTCCGTGGGTAGCCCTTCTCGAGTTGGCTGGCTCTCAATGAAAGTACAATTGTAACGAGCATAAGGTTAAGGAGGGGAATCATCCCTCAAAAGTCGACCCAAGAGGTTGGAGAACCTCTCGCCTTATAAGACATCCCTAGTAAGGAGACCTCTCCAATATAGGACTTGTTACATAAGTCATTCCGTCTTCCATGCAGAAAATATGTGTCCTAATTTATTATATTAAATAGAAAAGGCTTATACGATGCTTGCTAAATTAGTGAACTCGATCAACGATATAAGACGACATTGATACCAAAAATTAGGTAATATCAATATATCACATCGGTCAAATAAAATTATGTCATCTAAAAATTTTATCAACAAATATTTAGTACGATCAAATCCATATGGTAAAAATCATAACAATCAAAAAAGATAATCTTATCTCTAAAAGTATATTATAAATAAGAGATAATTTCATCATCAAAAACTAACTTAATAACTAGAATCTCTTTTATAGATATTTTCTCATTAGAGCATCCAATCTATTGGTAGAGAAAATTCAATGATCTCGCCTAAAAAGATTAGCATCAAACTATTCTAAGTAAGAACATACTACACGAAAAATACAGTGGTAGAACGTCTCAGATCAGACCGGATTCAACATTTGAATTTTCTTAGAACGTCTCACTCTCTCGTCTCTGTTGTTGCTGCCTTCCCCGTTTCTGTTGTGCGTCGTGTCTTTTCCATGTCAACGCGTCACACTTGCTTTCCGACGTCCATCACATGTATTATAAGATTTCAAAAAAATAGTAAAACTTTTAATGGATGTGAGGATCAAGGCCATATTAGTTTGAACATTTAGAAGCTAATTAGTTACCAAACCAATGAACTAATTTTACAAGTTGTCATAGCTTGACTTAAATTAATTATGTAGTATATGTATTATTTAATATTTTATATAAAATATTAGTTGACTTAAATAATTTAATATAATTTAATTTAAAACTATATATTTAATTATATTAATTTATACGATTTAATTAGTATAAAATTTAATTATTTTGTTAGTATTATATTAGTCATACAATTTTTTTAAAACATCTTTAAAATATGGTATGATTTTTATTGAAATTTAAAAATATAAAATATAAATGACATAAATGTATTTTTAAAATATTTAATAAAAATTATTTAATTAATGATTACAAATTTGATCCTAATCCACTAACTTAAAGACTGAATCAATGTTTAAAATATCATTTTTAAGTAGGAATAAATTCCAAAATAACTTCACTTTAATAAATATTAAATTCTACTTTACCAAAGAGCCTATAGACATTCAAAAGATTGTTCTTATCTAATTCACTTTTCGATCGGGATATTTTTTAAAAATTAAGATTAATTTGAATAGAATATGAAGTATATAAAATAAAATTGTATTAATCCAACTATTATATTTAAAAATTCTTAATGCATAAATCAAGTTTGTAAATTTAAAAAAAAATCTAAAAATTATTTGATACTTTATTTCATTAATTCAAATTAATGGATAATTATAAAATTATTTTATACATTGATTTGAATTAATGAAATGAATTATCAAATAGTTTTCAGTTTTTTTTTAATTTACAGATTTAATTTATGTATTAAGAACTTAAATTCAACGGTTGAATTGTTGAAATTTAATATAAAGCACGAGTTATTGAATGAAGTAAATATAAGTAGACTTACTCTTAGAATAAACGGATCCCTCCTTATATATATATATATATATATATGATGC